GACCACACTTGTAAATTACTGGCATAAATCTGGTATCCACTGAACTATCAGTAATTATGGATTTATGAGTTGTTCTAGCAGCAGCTGTTTGGGTCTAATGGTTCAAGGCACTCTTAGGTTCTTCCTAAATGAGTAGTCAGAGCAGAAAACCAGCTGCTTAAGGAGATGTGTTTTGAAAGGTTCAGAGCAGAGCTTAGCTCAAAATTTTTGCCGTCACTGTCCCTGACAGAGACTGAAATTCGACTCTTAGAGAGCCTTTGCTTCTTGAATAAAAATGTTTTCTGGGAGGTAATACCTTAATATATTATCTATTACTGGGTGTATTCATTGTCAGATTTTTAAAAACTTAACTGCACACAAAGCCTACAAGAATGAGATTCAAGCTAAGCACCCAGGTTTTAGAATGACAGTCACCTAGCTTCCAAATTTGCTTTAAGATCTGCCTTAGACATCATAAGCATAATAGTTTTATTCATATTGAAAATTCCCTTTGCACAGATAGATATGACAAATATATATACATGTATATACACACAGACATACACACACACATATACACACAGCCCAGCCTCTTTTGCAGTAGCCTAAAGAGACAGTACATAGGAGAACAAGACTTTACACTCTAAACACCTCTTTTCCCATCTTATAGTCATGTCCTTACCATCTCCAGCTTTGTGAGATGTGAAAATTTACTAAGAGCTAGATAAGGTAGGACTTTCTTGCATTTAGCCAAGTGTCACCTTGGTTTCTTGGTGAACACATCCTCACTATGCATGATTTTATGGATCTCAATCTTGCCCTTACCATCATTATTGTAATCTCCATTCTGGTTGACTGCCAGAGACAACAGTTCAGTTTATTCTAACATTTAATTTTTCCTCTGGCTTTGAATTTTCTGGCTGGGAAGTTATTGGGAGCATGAAGCCGTGGGGTGCTTTAAGCCTCTAAGTCTCTGCAGTGAAGTTAATTTGTGTGGTGTGGAGTTACAGGGGCTGTTCTTTCTCAAATAAGTCCTGTATGAATTTTTATAAATCCACTTAAGTCCTTACAGTTTCAAGAAAAATAGATCCTCTGCCTCAAATAAGTTGTCTGCGAATTGAAACTATTTTGGTTATAATTGTATTCTTTCTCTTAATGAATCTAAACTTACGTTGAAATAGCAATGACAGATGAGGCACTTAAAATTAACTGCTAATACCACTTTCTGTATTTTATTTTAGATAAATAAATATTCATTTGTTAAGTGGATATTCTGTTTCATCAACAAGGATGCAACATGGATAGCACAAGTCATTAGCATAATCCAAATGCTTGCTAAAGGCCTTTGGAATGCCTAAACTTAAAAAAATACACTACCATGGACTTGGAAAGAATCCTGCACTCCAAGGCCAAAGAATCTACTGCACATTAATCTTCATTATAAAAAAAAAATTGATTGGAGACCTAAATACAAAAATAAGCATATTGTGTAATACTAAAACATGAAAAAATAAATTTAAAAAAAGCTTTAGGAAACTTCATGGCATTGTGCAAAGATGCTACACAGAAGAAAGGGAGATACGGTGGTCCTGCTTTTGTCACCAATCAACTTTGAAATCTTTAGCCAGGCATTTCAGTCCTATAAAAATCCATTTTCTCACATGTAAAAGGAAGAGTTGAAGTTATGTTTTTCCAGGGCTTTTCTTCTCTGACAAACTGAATCTTACAACAATTTTATGACTCAATCAGGGTAGCAGAGACCAGAGACAGTTTGAAAAAACACCTTACAAGACTTATAAATGAAGTTCTGCCTCCAAGGGCACTTAATTTTTTCAAGTGAAAGCATGCATGCAGATTTATCCAGCTGTTACCCCAGAAGAGGACAGAGTAAATATACTCCATTGTATAAGAAGCCCAAAGTGTGATCGTTAAAAATCCCCACACACAATTAGAAAACTGGTGACTGCTCTGTGTCTCATCTATAAACTGCATAATCCCGAAACCTTTGAGAGCGTGTGCTGAGAAGCTGAGTGAAGAGGTCCCCTGAGGAGGTGTTAGAGACACATACTAAAGCCAGGAAGAGATGGTGGGCATGGGAAACAGGTCACCCAGTAGCCCTCAGCAATTTGGGCTTTATAAACCACACTGTTAGGATTTATACCCAGCCATGCAATTTCTAGGAATTAATGTCAGGGACTATAAAAGGTATACTTTGGATATATTTTAGCACTGTATACCTAAGTAACACACTGCCGTGCAGGCTAATATATATGCAGTTAACTAGGTTTTTAAGACATTCACTGATTACCCACCTACAACATAAAATATGTTCAACAAAAACCTAAACTGAAATTTGCAAGTGCACATCTGTGCTTATAGGGAAAACATTCGAGTACACATGCCTGGATAATGAAGTTCTGTTACTTCTAAAATAATTCTTAATGTTACGTGATCATTTGTTACATTGCAGGGAAAATATACCTGTGTTTACAATCCATCATAATGAGTCATTTTGATATACTAATAAGGACTTCAGAGCAATACAGTTTGAGGGGAAAATCCGTTGACAGATACACTACTACGACTGAATACAGAAGCAATACAAAACTTTAATGCTGTCTCTTCTAGCATTTTTAAAATGACCGTTAACATTTCTTGATGACTGTTACTTTTCCTTGCTCCTTTTCCTTTTTGTTCTTCTCGAGAAATCAATTTTTGAAATTCAGTAGGAGTTGTAGCCTTATTTCTGTCTCCCAGGCAAGATGCTATTAGGGGTCACTTCCCATGTACGGAAAAAACAATCTTCATGGATAATAATGATAAAACCTTATGGAATGCAAAAACAACCAAAATATGTATTCTCGGATGACTGCATTAGGGCCAAGTCAATATTAGTCCCACTACGCCCACACAACGCATAGTCTAAAAATGCTGTCAGCCTGATAAGAATTTCCTTTACTCTTTTTTCCAATAGAAAATGTAGGTCATCAAAATAAACTTCTGACAGTAAAAGAACAGTAGTTACACTGTCAAGTCTCTTGTTATTTAGCTAGCCAGTTATGGTCAAATAGTTCCTTTACTTGACCAAAGGAAAAAAAAAAAAAGAAGAAGAAGAAGATGAAGAAAGAAAGAAATCTTGGACAAGCCATTTTAGTAAAAGCAACATGAAAATTTCCAAGCACACCTCTCACCTACATTCTTATGATTGACTCAGCCTAACATCTACTTAAGCAATGTCTACAAAAGCCCCAAATATAGAAGTTGATCATTACGTTAACTAATCAATGTAGATAGTCTGATTTTTTTTTAAGAAGATCATTGGTCAGAGTTTTTCTAATTTTTATCTTATTTTTTACTTTTTAAAATTTTGGTCTTCAGTATGTTGATGAGTTTAGCAAAAGAATTTAATTTGGGGACTGAGTCTCAAGGCTATTGCAAACATTAGATGAAGTATTTGGAGTCATTTCTTATTGAAAACTCTTATGATTGGTAATTTGTCATTTTCTCTGATACTCAATGTTATTTTCTAGCTCAAAAAAGAAGTTAATATTAACGCCGCCTCAGACTCATTGATTTCACAACCCAAAAAATGAAACCGTATTTGAAACAACAACTACTAGTTGTTATTTTTTAAGGGAGGAAAGTAACTTTCTGAATATTTAGAGAAGTTTTAGTTTGTTGCTCATCCACATTCCAAATGATAATTGAAGGCCTCTATAATATCAGAGGTGCTTTGAAATGCTGGAGTTGCTAAATATTAAACAAAAAAAAAGGCAAGAAAGTAGGACTCCTTCCTCTTTTGCCCTAATTGGTCCCGGTTAAGCTGGTACTGTTTAGCAGATGAATCTGGGACATGAACTCTTCCAAAATCAGCTGAACTTCACAGTTCCTAAATTCTAAACAGAAAGTTAGATTTCTTTCTAGAGAGTGGCACTGTAATTCTAGAAAAGAGACAGAGGTAGAGGAAACACAGAAAGTAAAAGGCCAGATGAAGTAATGGGCCAAACCTATAAAGGTTTGCAATAAAACATGTGGTTCCTAACAAAGTGGAAAGAAATAAACCAATGCATTCTATGGATGGTAATTTCCTAATGAAATCTAGTTATATTTTTTCAGTTTCTCCAAATCCACCAACCCTAACTCCCATAGTCTGAGGTGGACTCTATTTTGGCACAGCCCTTGCCACACACACTTTTTGTTTTAATGTAGTACTAACTAAGCCTTGGCACACTCTCTGTTGAATCCAGAGAGTAACGTGGCAGGGCACCTCATGCACTCTGCTGTTCCTTCCAAAGTAACTATAGCATCTTCTCAGTTCACGTCCCCTTATTATGGGCATCCTCAGTTACTCTTGGAAGAGTGGAGATCCAGCATCCAGAGATCCAAGGTAACAGCCTCTTGGCTGAGGGACACACTGTCAACAGACAACACGAAAGCTCTGCGCTTTGCTGGGATGAGAAAATGAACGCACAACCTTAATCCATCCCTGTCCTCTAAGTCACAGTCACAGGGAGAAGGACTATGGAGAAGTTCTAGTAACACCCCATAGACATTATGCTAGACCAATGTTCCCCCGTTAAAGTCCCAGATCGCTTTGTGAACTCCGTCAGCACACTTCATCTTCCTCATCCAGAAAACCCTAAAACACTCCACCTTTCCAAACAAATAAAATAGTTGGTTTAAAGGAAGTTTACTCACATAGTCCTAAGACAGATGCCCTTGGTGAGCTTCAGAGAACTGAGTCCTAAGAGCTAGGGTGGCTCTGAGCTCCGGCGGGCACAGCTCAATGAAGCCCCAGCCGGGTCCTGCCTCGCCCGCCCGCCCAGCCCGCCGCGCTCCCTTCCCGGAGCCACAGCCTCTCCTCCGGCCCTCTCGGTCCGGGTTTCTGCTCGAGGACGCTCCCGCAGGTCCCAGAGCATCCTCCGCGCCACGCGTGCCTGCGGGACGCCGCCGAGCCCCAGGCCGATCCCCGCGGAGCCCGTCGCCCCCGCCCCCGGCAGGCTGCCCGGCCGGTGACTCACCTGCTGGCCAGGTTGGGGCGCCGGCTGGTAGCAGGCTGTGGGGCCGGTTGTCGCTGCCCTGGGGTTGGGCAGGTACTGGGACGCTCCATACGGCTGCGGGTGATACATCACCTCCGCACAGCTCATGGCAGCCGGGGCAGTGGCGGCCCCCGAGCTGCCGCCTGTGTCGCTGCTCCAGCCGCTGCTGCGGCGCAGGCGGGTCGTGCGCGGCCGCGGGCTCCGCGCGGGGCGCGGGCTCCGGAGGGACTGGCAATCGGCGGGGGCCCGCGCGCGGGCAGCTTCATCTTCAGCCCCTCCGGGTGTCCCCTGCCGCGCTTATATAGCGGCTCGGGGACGCGGCCGCCCGCTGCGCCGCTGGGACATGACGGCGTCCCGCTCGCGCGAGGTGCGGCGCCCACGGCAGCGCCAGTCACAGCCACAGCCCAGGCCGGGTCGGGCGGCCGTGCGGAGTCCGGGCTGCGCTTTGCATGTACACAATGCGCGCCCCGGGCTCGTCCTATCACGGGTGCCCCCGGCGGTGCGAGGCCCGGGAGGCGGGGGCCAGGGGGAGGGGAACGCCAGGGAGGAGGGGGGCCTTGCCTCCCCAGGCTCTGACGCGGAGCTCTGCAAAGTTTCTCTAACTCGCTTAGCAGCGGGCGGGTCACCCTGCAGGGGGACCCCGGGGAAGGCCGGCTGCGGATTGGAGCGAAGTTTGCAGCCCTCTCCGCCTCCAGCACGGGACGGTGGTGGGAGGAGAATGGTATGCAGAGGCTCCGCGCCCTCAAGGCTCGGCAGGTTCCCACCCTGTGTGTGTCACCTGGCCGCCAGGGCGAGGGCTTCCCGACTCCAAGGAGCTTTTACAGGGAACACCAACTCAGAGGCTGGGGCCAAACGAAAGCCAAGTGTACAAAGGGATAAAACAAGGCACAGCAGAATACGCGGGGATTCGCTCCTACGTTAAAAATAATCACAAGTGAAAGTTAAAATCACTGCAAGTGCGCACATGCCAAGAATGCAGCGCCGTTTCCCACAAGCAATCTCTGCTTTAAGTTTACATCTTCACTATATGACACTCCTGTGGGACGTCCACCGTTTCTGGCTTTTGCAGTCTGGTTTTCATAGAGCAATAGAGGGTAATTGATTAAGCCCTTTCAGCTACTAAAGATTTATCTATTTGCAAGTGGATCTATCCCTCCCCAAAATGAGGAAAAATAAATATGTGAGAATATGCTTGTATCCTGACATAATCATCAGAAAGAATTATGCTCACTTTTAAAAATTTATTTTGAGACAGAGTCTCCCTCTGTCACCCAGGCTGGAGTGCAGTGGCATGAGCACAGCTCATGGCAGCTGCCACCCCCACACTCCAGAGAACCTCCCATCTCACCTTTTGGAGTAGCTGCGACTACAGGCCTGCATTACCACGCCCAGGTAATTAAAACAAACAAACAAACAAACAAACAAAAAATTTCTTGTAGAGAAGGGGTCCTGCTATGTTGCCTATTCCGGTCTCTAACTCCTGAGCTCAAGTGATCCTCCTGCCTCGGTCTCCCAAAGTGCTAGAATAACAGGCGTCAGGCTGCACTGGGCCTCATTTTATAAATGAGCAACCTCTAGCTCTGAGATTCAGCAAACCTGCCTCTCCTTATTGTAGACATCCTCTTTTATGACTCAAAGCAATCTGTCATTTTCACAGGCTATCCTTTCTCAGAGAAAAAGTCAGTTTGGAAGTCAAATGTACTAATGTTGAATAGTTTGAATTATGTCTTTCCAAAAGTTTATATAATGAAGCCCTAACTTACATTACAGCTGTATTTGAAAATAGGACATATAAGGAGGTTTTAAGGTTAAATGACATTTTAAAGGCAGGGCCCTAATCTAATAGGACTAGGGTCCTTATAAGAAGAGAAAAACACACCAGAGATATCTATCTATCCGTCAAATCCCATTCCCTCTCTCTTTGCTCTGTCACGGAGGAAAGGTCATCTGAAGTCCTAGTGAGAAGGCAGCTGCTACAAGCCAGGAAGAAAGGTCTCACCTTGAAACCAACACTGACCACACCTTATCTTGTGCTTCTAGCCTTCCATGAAAAAATTAATTTTGGGGGGTGCCACCTAGTTGGTGGTATTTGTGGCAGCCCTAGAAGACTAATATAGATCTACAGTTCTCATATTGTTAATGTTTATGTAAGTGTCGGTGTGTATGTCTAACTACACAGATACATACACATGTATATATACACATGAACATACGCACATTCACACTATAAAAACTGGATAGGATACCGGGTGCGGTGGCTCACGCCTGTAATCCCAGCATCTTGGGATCCACAAGGTGGGTGGATCACGAGGTCAGGAGATCGAGACTATCCTGGCTAACATGGTGAAACCCCATCTCTACTAAAAATACAAACAATTAGCAGGGCATGGTGGCACACGCCTGTAGTCCTAGCAACTCGGGAGGCTGAGGCAGGAGTATTGCTTGAACCCAGGAGGTAGAGGTTTCAGTAAGCCGAGATTGAGCTACTGTACTCCAGCCTGGGTGACAGAGTGAGATTCTGTCTCAAAAAAAAAAAAAAAAAATTGGATAGAAACTTTTTGCTACACCATAACAGTTTCTATTCACTCATTATTTTATCCACTGAAAATTAAAAGCATATTTATTAAGGGCTTGCACAGTTTGGACTTTAAATTGTGCTCTTTATAGTGCAAGAGTATTTCTAGCAATAATATGTTTCATGATTTACTTTAAATGTTTATTATTATCTTTTCCCAAATTGACATCCTTTGATCAGACCCCTTTCCTATGTTTCAGACTTATCTATTCAGTTCTTCCTAGGTAGCTCCGCATAGGTGTCACATCAGGACCTTGATCCCAATAGCACCGATCATCTCATGTCCCCAGTTTGATCCTCTTTTTTAATCTTCATCTCTACTGAAACTCTCCACCTACAAGTTGCCTCAGCTACAAGTGTGGGAATCTTCTGGCACTCCTTCCGTCTCCTCACAGTCCCCACACCTGGTCTTGGAGTCAAGTTGACCCAAAATTTTACATTTTTACTGACTCCTTATCACTGGTCGTCTCTCACTCAGACTCCTACAAGAGACCCCTAGTGATTTCCAGGCCCCAAGGTCGGCCTTCTCCCCATTCTTCATAGTTTATGCTACTACTCTTTAATGTCCCAGCCACTGCAAATCCAACTGTGCAATGATGATTCATTCTTCTTTTTAAAATTTCACAGTCACATCCCACAGTCTGTAGAAACAACAATTTAAAGCTTCAGATTCTGGCCCCTGCCTATGTCACTACTTCCTGCGAATGTTTACCAGTTATCTCAATGGAGATCTGCATTCTGCAAAGAAGCTGTGGTACTTTCTACCAGCATGTCATTTTACATATGCGCAGGACGTCTACACCGACACATCCCCCACCTTCTTCACTTGTTAACTCCTTCTTGCTCTTCAGGTAATTGTCTTCCAAAACATCCGATGAGGATCAGCTTTAATGCCCCTCTTTTCATCAGCTCTCATACTTTTATGAATACTGCTCGCATCATACTAATAATAACTACTTGATTTGCAGTTGCTTATTTGCCTGTCACCCCTATACGACCATGGCTGCTTGAGAGGAGAGGCTATGACTTTTATCTCTAAATTTCAATCACATTATGCCTGGCTTAATAAACATTCTCTGAATAAATAAAGTATAATAGGAGGAGAAGCAAAAATTATTAGAAAAGCTTACAAATTTATGGGGGGGATCTGAACACATATGAAATCAGTGAAGGCTATAATGCAGAATATCATTTCAAACTCTGTTTTCAGCTTTCTGTTGTATGTTAGATTGAGAAAATCCTTATGATGTTAAAAAAGATAGAATATAAATAGAATATAAAGTGACTGAATTAGGCCACAGAGCAAGTGTGTGAGGACAGCCACTTCTCAATACAAGAACCCCTGTTCAAACGTTTAATTGCTCCAACTTTTTTTCAAATAACTTATATCTGTAATTGATTATTTTTTGTGCAATTGTGAGTTCAACATCTGTCTCTTTAGCTAGACTTTGGCAGACGTCACTTATATCTTGTTCATCTCCATATCTAACACTTAGAAAACATTCTATATACATTTTCTGAATGATAAAATAAAGCCAAAGCATGGTTCAACATGTCCATACCCCTCATTTCTGCATCTTCCAGGCCACACATGGCCTCTGGGGTGTTGCGAATATTTATTCCATGACAAAGAAAAGTCCTTTGGTACTAATAAGTCATAGACATGAAAGTCTGTAGGTGTTTGGCAAAATCTCCCACAATGTAGTATTTTTTTTGGATACCTCTCTTTGTTTCTGTATTGTACTGACGGAAGAAAATAAGAGAGTAAAGATTTATTCTACCTAGGCTTAGAATCTAGAAAAATGGACACAGAGAGAAAATAGCTTGTCAAAGGCTGCAGTCTTAGTGAGGTCATTAATACAAATTCAAATAATTCATGTTAACAAAATCTACATTTGAGTTCTAGTTGGAAAGTAGATGTATCTCACTTTCCGTAGGTAGCGATTTAGGGTTTTAGAATGGAAAATAATGGAAAGGATCATCTAGTTTAAAACATCTTCTTTCATAAATAAGTAAATATGTAGTCTGATTGATGTCTTCTTGGGAACTGTGGCAGAAGTACAACCAAAGTCCCATTTATCTTGACTCTTGATTTAGTTCTCTTTCTTAAACCCGCAGTAAGGATATATAAACAAATACATATGCATATGGATATGCATACATACATTATACATATGTGTACATATTCCTAGATGTTTACTTATGCATATATATACATACACAAAAGAAGTTTTTGATCATATTATCCTCAAGCCAAGCTGGAGTTGCAGAAGAGGATTGTGTATATGGGGTGGGGATGCAGGTCAATTCCATTCAGCAAGAGTGAGTCACTCAGATCAGGGAATGTGATCTGACCGCTGGTGTACTCATTGTCATCTCTACTATGTAAGGGTGTCACAATTACTTGGAAAAGCAGCAAGGGTATGGAATTTAATTCTATGTAGTTCTGAGCTAAAGTTCCTCAAAGTTTACCCTTCTATGTTTTCTCCTTTCACACTTTTCTAGTTCAATTCTGATGTGGAACCTGAGCTGAATGAACTTAAACATTCCCAATTCTTCTGAATCATGGGTCTTCAGTCACTACATTTCCTCCTCCCGCCAGCAATAGATTTCTCAAAACGTTTGTTTCCAAATTATCCAGGTGGAATTTAGTGAGGTGGGCCCACTAAACTAGTTTTATTTGGAGGGATAACTGGAAGTGGGTTTTCCTAATATATTTTTGGAAAAGATAGGGTAAAAAAGTAGGGGCAGCTTATTTTTTGAGTGGTGACAGCCATGCCTGCCTTTAACTTGAGGTCCCAATGTAAGAAACCCCCTGGGTCCTGCAGTACACACATGTCGATA